ATCGTTAAACAAAGGAAGTGAAGCACTTGTTGAAAAATTTCGTAGCTTTCATATTGAGTATACAAATAAATTAAAAGAACTTCGCACCCAGGCTAAAGATAAATATAAACGATTAAAAGAACTCTCTCAGAAAAGGACAGAGCCAGTATCTAACGTGACTACAGAAGAACACGTAATTATTAGTGAAGATACTGAAGTTCCTAGCTTAAAAAGTGAAGATGAAATTTTTACTGATTTGGTGAATATCGAAAATTTAAAAATGACTGATGATTTCAAACAAATTATTTCGGTAACTAACGAGGTTGGATTTGACCCCTGGATAAAAGTATTTCGGAAACCTAGATTAGCATGCAATTTTGAATTCCATAGTTATAAAAATAGATTTTCCTTGCATATCGATAGTGAATATGTAGAAAAAATTGAATTAACTGAGCAGCTTGCATATATCTTAGGGTTTGATAGGCAAATTTTAACTGAAACTTGTATTGCAAATTTTATGCCTGATATGCGAGGAGGCGTGTCCTGCTTCCATGTTTATGCACCTGGATTAATTGAACCAATGGTTATAGGCGATGTGACAGCTCCAGTGCTTAGAATTGTGACAATTAGAGGTAAACAAGATGAAATAATTGAAGAACAATTTTTATGTGTTCAATACCATAAGCTACTTGTAAAAGAAATTTCTGAAATTTTTATTGAAATTAGAACTTCTGGTGGTACATTAATGCCATTCCAATATGGAACATGTACATTAACATTACATTTTAAAAAGGCTACATACTTTTAACAATGAATACGCTTCAAATTGATAAAATATTAAAAAGAAATATTGTTACAAAGGGATTTTATGTAGGATGCTTTGCTTCAGACTGTATTCCTTATAGGAGTAACTTTTTTCCATTCTGTGTTGTAGTTAATACAGATCCGAGCAATTTATCTGGAACGCACTGGATAGCATTATTTTGTAATTCACCTAATAGTATTGAATACTATGACTCTTTAGGTATTTGGCCACCGATAAGTCATCACATTAGAAATTATTTAAATAAGTTTAAGTAAGTTCAATTTAATTCTGTCATGTTACAACGACCTTTTTCTAGTACGTGCGGGAATCATGTTATCTTATTTCTTTATATGCGCTGCTTAGGTTTTTCATTGAATAAAATCATTTCATTACTAAAAAGAACTAATGCCGATAAATTTGTATCTGAGTTTATTACTACTCAGATATTTAATATAAATAGATGACTTTAATAATATACTCATAACATACAAAATGCACATTGATTTTGATCCTGAAAATATAAACTGGTCAACATTAACTGAACAACCCAATCAATGGGGCGGGTATAATGTTTTCCGTGGCGTTCCTTATCAACGAGGTAATGGATTGGGGTCAGTTTTTAGAAGTTTTCTTCGTTATTTAATCCCAATTGGTAAAGAAATTGGTAGCGCTATTGGAAGACAGGGTTTAGAATCCGGTAATCGAGTTTTAAGCAATGTCTTAGAGGGAAAAAATCTTAAAGAATCTCTTGTTACTGAAGGTAAATCAGGCTTGAAAAACTTACTGCAAAAAGCAGCTGAAAATGTTGATAAACAAAGTGGGAAAGGTTTTGATTTTAAACGATACAAAAATATAGAAAAGTCCCCCGCCATCGGGCAAATGAATGACGCAATTCCAGATCTTAAATCAAAAACTATAAATAAACATCCATATTCTCGAATCGGCCCCCCTAATTTTATTCCTACTTTTAAAAAGAAAAATTCTAAAAAATCTAATAAAAAATCCCGTCCACAAAAACGACTACGAGTAGACACGTTAGGAGCATACTAAAATGAGTTGCCCAAAACAAATTAATGAAAACAGCCCTTTGGCACTGAATAGCGCATTAAGTATTTTTTCTGTACCTCCTACAAACGTTTCTGTTGTCCGATCCTTTTTTAGAGAAATTCTCCCACTTAGTACAATAACACAAGATTCTCCGTATTTGTTTCGATTGTTCAGTGATAATCTTTGGACTGACTTATCTCGAACTTATCTTTACCTCGAGCTATCAATTGAAAAGCTGGGAACTACTGGTAAATGGGTAGATATTGAAGCAACCGATAATAGCATTGGATCGATTCAAGGTATTGGACAAACATTTGTTCAACAGTTGAAGGTGACTGTTGGTAATACAGAGGTTTACGATAGTGGTACTCTTTATCCTTACAAAGCATATATTACTAATGAGTTGTCATTTCCAGACAACGTTAAATCACATTTTCTTGCATCTATCGGATATTATAAAACTGAAAAGCATGATGATCCTACAGATGATGGTTTTAAAAATCGCTGCTCTATTTTTGCAAACGGTAAACGCTCACAATTCCTTTCGCGCCTTGATTTTGATTTGGGGAATCAAGAATTATTTCTCCTTAATAATTTAGATATTCACTTTAGCATTTACAAAAGTAAGGATGCTTTTATATTACAAAATATCAAAGAAGGTGATAGTAATCAATATAGACTTTATGTTCACGACGTTAAATTATTTTCGAAAATGGTTGAAGTGCAACCATCACTTAATATGAACATTTATAAGACTCTTGAATCTAAACCTGCTACGTATGCTGTTCGCCGAACTGAAATGAAATCTACCTATCTTACTTCAGGTCGGACAGAAATTGAATATAATGCCTTTAGCTCGGCTATACCGCGGCGCATTACTGTTGCCTTAGTTTCGAATAAAGCCTTTAATGGTGACATTGCTCTTTCTCCATTCAATTTTAAACCATTTGATATTAGGGATATCTCGGTTCATACTGGCGGGCATATTTATCCTATGGTCGCCTATAAGCTAAAGTTTGCCCAAGACTTATTTGTTAGAGCTTTCGTCGACATGTATGAAGCTCTTGGAATGGCTAATTCAGATCGTTCCATTGATATTTCAATGTCACGATTTAAAGATGGGTGGACCTTTTTTGTAATACCTTTGACATCGACACTCGATGACTCTTGTGGTTTTGAGCTTCTCAAAAGTGGAACTACTAGTATTCGTTTAGAATTTAATACTCCCATTCCTACTGGAGGTGTTGAAATGATTATTTTAGGTGAATTTGATCAGATGATTATGATAGATTACAATAGACATATAGTTACAGATTCGAATCTAGGTTGAAAAGTTGTATAAATAATGATAATTTAAAATATATTAATTTTTGAAATGCAAAACATTTCCAATACTACTATGAATATAACATTCGAATTGTTAAAAATTGCTAGCACGGATTTACAAAATAATGCTTTGGATCCTACTGTAGCTTATGGGATACCTTTATTACTACTACTTCATTTCATCATTCTCCCTATGATTTTAATCTGTTGGATCTTACTCCTTCGAGTTCTACGTAAACTAGGATTCATAACTTCTGCTGAAGAATCCAACATTGCAAAAAATATTAGCGAGATACCTTTAGGAAATTTGCAAAGAACTTAAAAACATTAGAGACTCATCGAACCGTCCCTGAAAATGTTTGGCACTCAAATGTTCTTCGCCGCGGAACGTCCTGAAAGGTTTTGGTTTTGTCTACTGTAGATGGGGGAGGGGGGGGGGGGTATCAATAGGATTGGGTACAATTTTAATTTATTGATTAGTTAGAACAGGACAGCTCTGAAGAGACTGCCTATTTGGGGAGAGAAAAAAATTTTTTCTCTGATTTCTCTCACCCAATAGGCAGTCTCTTCAGAGCTCTCTTGTTCTAACTAATCAATAAATTAATAGGGGTAATATAGTAGTTAGCAAAGCAAATATTTTATTGAAGTCTACTATGGTGTAGGTGGGGGAAGGTTCAGGGGTCAAACCCGTTAATTTTTTCCTCACATATAAAATGTATCGGCACCGGTTCTTGTCTGGAAGACATCCCAGGGTCTTTGTAAGAAACAACCATGGATAACAGTCCCGACAATAATGTCAAGCACTGATAGTATAATTTTAAATTTACCTCACAAATATTAATTCCAAATAAATAAAGAATATCACAAATATCACCAACTTTTAGAAATTATTTATAAAAAAATATTTTCAAAAAAATACTTTTAGTTGTTTCATCCAAAGAAATACCAATATAACCATCATTATAATTTCTAACATTTATTCTTTTTTCCTCACATTTTAAATCAAACAATTGCTTATTTAATGGAAGGACTTTTAATGTATCGAAAAAACATTTATGGACAATTTGAATTCCATTAGCTTTTAAGGCTTAAAAAAATTAAGTTTTAATTGGTTAGAGATAAATATTATAGTATTTTGAGTACTTATTAAGAATCCATCTTAGTGTAGGTATCTCCACCCAAAAATCGTATCCAAAGTAGTGATGAACCAAAAGATCGAAACCATATGATTAACACTATTTTTTTATTTTATTATACAACAAGGCAAGGTTGTTAGGGGAATAGTTTATTTTGATCAAAATTTTCAATTGATCAGCAGAGACTGATCAATTAATTTCTAAGGGGATTCTAGATTGATCACTAGGTGATGTATTAATGTCGATTATCAACGTTTGATAACTCTCTCGATTGTTCATCACTCGGTTTTCGATTTCGGAAATTTTTAAAAATATTTTCTATTACGATATTTCTCAACTTTTTCCGATTTGGTATACATAGTTCCGAAGATTAAAATTCAATGCCCAATTCGATGTATCGAACCGAACCAAACCGGGCCAGCAACCCTAATTAGATTAGTAAATCAAATTTCAAATTACTTTGAGAAAGAAATGATGTAGCTTTATGTATCATTTTGGCAATATAAACTAAACGATTGGGCCCATGATAGATTGCATACCTTAAAAAAGATATTCAAAAATAATTTTTCTAGATTTCTCTCAATATCTCTCCGTCAAACAACTCTAAAAAACACAAACATTGCAGAAATATTAGCAGGAAGTGCTTGAGCAGTGCAAATATTGGAGGTTGCTTTATCTCTTCGAATATGCTGTTCTCTAGTTTGGAGAGTTAAACGATAAGCAATATTTCCCTGTTGATCTCTAAATATTTGAAAAAATAGCTTAAATAATTTCCAGAAAACACCTAGAAACTCCAACAATCCTTCCAGGCATTTGCCTAGCCGAAGCTAAATTGGCAACAGACATAAAACCAGCATGAGGTCCGCCATACCCAAGAGGAAGTCCAAACCGTTGAGCACTACCTACTGCAATATCTGCACCCAAATCTCCGGCAGAACGTAAAAGTGTGAGAGAAAGTAAATCGCAAACCATTATAACGAGAATCTAAAAATTAATATAAAGGAATTATTATTAGTACCATAAAGGGATGTGTGAGCTTATTCCCTGCATTTTACCTTTTCATCAGGGATGGGCCTTCAAATTTTACAGTGCGGAAACGAAAAGCGGAATGCGGAAGAGTAAAAAAACAGAATAGCAAAACAGTCCATCGCTGCTTTTCATATGTGAAAGGGAATTCTGACGCACTCAGTTTATCAACATTCCGACCAATATATGTATATTATGTGTTATTCACTTTTTACTTTACTCTTGACATTTAATTATAAGAAGTATCTAATCTGGCCGGAACTTTGTATTTGCCCCCTTTAATTTCTCCACTTTTTATGCATGTTTTTAATTTGTAAAATCCTCGAAAGGATTCGGAACTCGAAGTTATTAGTATGACTTTAATAATTTTTACAAAATTATCTATTCACCTTTTCTTTATGTGCGCATTGAATTAATAAATCCAAATCTTCATAAATTAACCCTTCTGTGTTGGGATATTGTAAAATAATTGCAGCAATATTATCCCCTAACATGTTATTAACATTTACATCGTTAATATTCAATGGTTGAAAATTAATATCCATTGGTTCTGAACGTGTAGCCATTACACCAATATTTTGTGGATGTAATCCAGTATCATAAAGGATTGCTATAAATAAATTTATTAGGAGTAGGGTTATCGAAAAATCAAAGAAACTGAGGATATTTCTGTTCAGATCTTCGGTTAAGTTCCGGATTCCTAAGATTTCTAAAAACTGACTACACTAATTATGGGAAAATACCATGACTGAAACTTAAATTTAAGTATGTTTTCAAATCAAATATCATTTCTATGGATACACGAAATAAAATTCCCGGTAATAAAATTTCATTAAAGCCGTTCAGCATATAACCGTTCAAATATTCATTGTATTTTTCCTGGATTTATTTAAGATTTTTTTTTAATTTTGGCTAAATTTTGGCTCCACTGTCTTGACCGTGAGTATCTGAACAAATACTTATATTTTCTTAGTTTTTCGTGAATTTTTGAATTTTTAACATTTGACAAAAAAATTTTTTTAATGTTTCATATTTTTATTTTAAGCATATAAAATTGGTTGTTTACTCGGAGATAAAATTTAATAATTTCTTAAACTAAAAACGAACTTCTCCTTTTAGTTACACGAACAGCTAAAGCAATAGCTTCTGCACAAGCAGTACTTTCATCTAACAACTTTAATTATAATTTATAAAAAAATTATTTTAAATTTAATTTACTGAAGCATTTGCAAAGGGTAAACCAGTTAAATCAGATATCATAGTCTGGAAATTTAAAAGACTTTCTAGGCGTCCCTGTGCTATTTCTGGTTGATAAGGAGTATATGGGGAAGTCCTACAAATTTAAGAAAATAAAAATTATATACAAATTTGAAAATTATTTATATCTCTTTACTGAAAAATTTCAAATTTTGATAATAAAGTTACCAGGTAATAAAACATGTAAATACTAAGACTGTTCTGTTTTAATAATGTACAAAAAATTTAATTTTGTTTGATAGTTGATGTAGGAAGGTTTGGCGGTTAAAGATATCCGAAACTTAAAAAGGTGGGATATTAGGAAATTTTCGATTCGGTTCCTGATACATATCCTGTGATTTTCAAGGAACAGCCAACCCTAAACGTGGGGAAAGAAGATACCGATTATTTTTAAATTTTTTAAAATTTAAATAATTAATCACCATCCAGCATTTTGTAACATATTTTTAACAATTACTGATGGTACAATACAATCTTTAATATTATTTTTCAATAAATTTTTGATAAATAAATATATCAAATAATAACATACCATAATATCCCATACCTAAAATTAATAAAATTAAAATAAAATGAGTAATAAATTATTTTTAAAATTATTCACTTAATTAATTTTTAATTAAAAATATACAAAAACAGAATAGTTCAGGCCTGAATCTTAAGAGCGCTCGTAGTTCAGTTATTTAACCTATAACAAGCGGCAGGAGGTCGTAACCAGGGCTGATCGAAATTTCGTTTCGTTTCGTTTCGTTTCGCTCTTTCGTGCCCTTTTTTCCATTTCGTTTCGTTTCGGAACGAAACAGAAAAAAATTTATTTCGTTTCGTTTCGAAACGAAATAGACAAAATTCCGGACGAAACGAAACAAAAAAAAGTGAGAAAATGCACCCCCTAATGACGGGAATTTATGGAAATAATCGTTAATTTTTTACTGATTTCTGTCTTATGAGCAGCCTAAAATTAAAAAATTTTCGCCTGCGGCGCTGAAATGGAAGAAATTTGGCTTCTTGAGCTCCAAAATTCAAAAAATTTTCGCCTGCGGCGCTAAAAAGGAAGAAAGCTTTTACGGGGTTTGCTAGAGCAGACCAGCCTTCCGTCGCCTAACCTACCATAGTCAGAAATCTTCATTTCTGTGATATAAAAATAATAAAAATCTTTGAAAATAAAAATCTTTTTATTATTTTTTAAAAATAATAAAAAATATAAAAATTTTTATATCACAAATAAAAATCTGTGATATAAAAATAATAAAAATCTAGATTTGAATATGCTGGAGTTGTACTCCAAATTGGAGTTATACTAAAATTTTTATTACTTTGTGCGGTGGATTAAAAGAGATCTCGAGGGATTAGTGATAGCAAGATTAAGGCGATATTGTGGTATGGGCGAGATTAAGGGGATATACTTAGGTGGATTTTGTGTATATTTGGATTTTATGGATTAAGTGAATATAGTAGGTGGTTTTGGGAGGGGGATATACAAGATAGCGCAAGGGATATAGAAGATATCTATCCCTCTTAATATCCGTCTTGATCGATATCTAAAGTGGTATACTCCAAAGTAATTTGGCTCTTGGGATGCATATCTATGATTTAAATATCGATAAAAAGCCTTTATTGACCGAAAAATAAAAATTTTTTAATTTTTATTTTATTTCGTTTTTTTCGTTTCGTTTTGTCCGAAATAAGCTCATTTCGTTTCGTTTCGCTCCGAAACGAAATAGGAATTTTTTTATTTCGTTTCGATTCGAAATAAAAAATATTTTTATTTCGATCAGCCCTGGTCGTAACATAAGAAAAACCCCGCTAAAATAAGTTAGTTGATTTTTGGCAATTAACCCTTTACCGAAAGGAAAATCTAAGACTTTGATAAAAATTGGCCATAAATTAAAATTTTTATAATTTTAATCTTTTAATTAATTAATTCAAATTTACCAATAAAAGTTTTGTAAGGATTATTTAATGCAGCAATCTCTCTTAATTCGCTTAACATTTTAGATTCGTCTACGCCTTCCTCAGGAATTTCTTTTCCCAATTTTTGGCATAAACGAATACTATCTGGAACGTTTGTGTTTGTTAACTCATCCAAATCCTTTTTGAAAAAATATGATTAAATTACAAAGATTTAATACAAGAAACTTTACAAAGAATTATAATCGGACCTCAACTGAGAATTTACACTCACTTGAGTGTGGGTAAACACGAATGAACAAGCCTTGATATAAAGTGCAACCATTGAATTTGGCGAGTCAACCCCAAACTTCACCCGAGACATTTACATCACCTGTACACCAAACAGAAATCTATTCCTTTTTTCAGTTAATTTTATAAATCTTAAAAAATTGGACTTGAGGGAGGGAGGGTGAAGGGGGAATTCCCCATATTCTTTCACTGATGGGGAATTTTATGGACGTGATCCCCATTTATATATTTTTTCAGATACACAATTGCGGTCCGACTTTATTTTATAAAATTATATTTGCCTTAAATCCAAGATAACGAAGCATTTGCTGTTTCTCCAACTCTAGAATATATTTTGAAAATTACTTTAGAAAAAATATTTTTTAATTTCAACTCACCACATGGGCCATTATGCCTAAAATCAAGAAAACTAAATTTATCATCATAATCACTTAATTTACCTATCAGAAAAACAATCAGAATTTATTTGCCTTATATTAATATCATTATTTTTAAGAGGAAATTTTTGTATTTTTAAAGAATTATTTTTATCATTTTTTATTTGTAATGGAGAAGCAACTCTGCTTTGATTGCGAAAAATAAACAGAGTATTAACAGATGAAGAATTTTTTAGTTTTGTTGAATTAAGTACTCGGCGCATTTTTAGATATCCCTTTAATCAACTTTAAAAATAATTAACTATGACTTACTTGGGTATAAGAAGTGTGAAATATTTTATAACAAAAATTTAATTTTAAAAATTTATTGATAAAAGTATCAAATCGGTGCAGACAAAATTTAACAAAAAATAAAAATAAATGGAAGGAAAAAATAAAAATACATATCAATAAGTGTACCCAAAATGAAAGGGAGAATATTCTAGTTTTAATGATAGCATCTGCACTTTTTTTCAATTTTTACTATAGCAAATTTCTCATGCAAACAACAATTTAATATTAAGATGGTTTAATTTAAATTGGGTATTAAGAAATTAATTGTAAATTTTAAATATTTAATTAGCAAAAATAAAGATAATTAGGAGATGTTCTTAAATTAAAAATATTTAAAAAACGCGAACAAAATTGAGTGCATGTCTTTAATATGCATGACATAAAAACACAATGACTTTAAATTAGGGTTTGACCCCGAACGCTCGGGGGCGGGTATGTCGGGGTACGGGGTTTTCGAAATGTTTCGGGGCGGGGTTCGGGTCGGGGGAGCAAAATATGGTCGGGGTTCGGGTCGGGGTACGGGGTTTTAGGAAAAAATTTTTTAAAGAAAAATGCTCTAAAAATAGCCATTTTGGGTCTATTTTCTGCAATATATTCATAAATTAATGAGAATAAGGTGGGATTAAATGGAAAAAAGAGAAATTGGAGTGATTAATTGGATCTGGAGGTGATTAAGGAGGATTTGGAGGGATTAAAGCGGTTATCTTGGGATATAAGAGGATTTGTAGGGACTAAGGGTAGTTTCAAGGGATATCATTGATTTGAAGGGTTATCGAGTGATTAGTGATTTGGAGGATATCAGGCAGGGTGGCCCTTTTACCCTATTTCTAGAGGATTTTCCCTATTTTTGACCTTTTCGCTCTATTTTTTCCCTATTTTCTCATTTGCCATATTTTTGCCCTATTTTTACTATCTTGTAAAATTTTAAAAATTCTTCGGATTTCGTAAGAAAAATGGTAAAAATTGAGGATTTCTGACTTCCTGGCCTTCAAAATCCTCAAAATTTTTGCCTGCAGCGCTAAAAAATGAAGAAATTTGGCTTCTTGGCCTTCCAAAATTTTCGCCTTATTTGAATTTTAAGTATGTTTAAGCATTTAAAGCTATGCCCTAATTTTGCCCCATTTTTGGCCGATTTCGCCCTATTTTTGCCCTATTTCTGAGTGGCTTCGCCCTATTTTAGTGTTTTGGAAGGGGCCACCCTGATATCAGGGTAACTCTTTCTTTTCTGCGCCGCAGGCAAAAATTTGAGAAACTTGGAAGGCCAAGAAGCCAAATTTCTTACATTTCCAGAGCCACAGGCGAAAATTTTTAAAATTTTTTAGGTAAAAAAGCCGGATGTCTTCGTTTATTTTAGCTCTGACCAAGAAAATTTTTGAAATTTTAGCTAAACAAAAAATCTTTACATTGTTTTTTATGGTTGATAATATTTAAAAATAAGATTTACATTTTAAATTAAAATTAAGTTCTTGATTTTCTAAAGAAACATCCCCAACAATCGAGCCCAGCTTATTTGGATCCGAACCCAATCCTATATTAATGGAAATATAGGCTAAAACCAACAGCTAAGCCACTCAACCACAAGTCTCTTAACATAGCAGGAAAAAGAATTTTAATATTTCTTTATTTTTCTTTCAAAAATAATAAAGGCAAAGTAAATTGGGAGTAAATTTTTAAAATTTTTCTCTTAAAATTCTCCCAAAAATGACATTTTTTGGGTATATAAAACCCCGATAACCCCGAAACTTTTCGGGTCGGGGTACGGGGTTTTCACTTTTTTTCGGGGCGGGGTTCGGGTCGGGGAGAATCGTGAAAAAATCGTTCGGGAACGGGGTCGGGGTTCGGGGTACGGGGTCGGGGTCAAACCCTACTTTAAATTAAATCATTTGGTAAATTTAATGTCACAATAAATTGACGTTATTGAATAGAGGAAAGGTATGTCTAGTTCAGACACGAGTTAAAGTGCATCCTCAAACAATAATGCATCGGCACTCAGATTTAAATGTTTTAAATTAGAAATTTTAAATCAGACTCGGACAGACAAAAACGGACGAACTGGACAGACTCGGACCGACAAAACACGGACGACTCGGACGTCCATTCTTCCTTAAGGCAAACATCAACATACATCAACTTTAAGGAAAATTGACCATTTTTATAAAGAAATAAAAAGTAAGGAAAAAAACGATTCGACCCTTCTTTTGGGATAGGGCCAAAATTTTTAAGCAATATTTATGAAAATATTTAAAAACAATTAAAAACAATAAAATTAGTAACAATATTTAAACAAGATTTTAAATTTTTAAACAATATTAAGAATATTCACTTATTATAAGTAATACTAAAAAATATCAAATAAAAGCAACTCAACTAATGCGGCATAAGTCAAGAAACACTAAAATCGACGATAAGCTTATAATTATTTGGAGATATGTATTAATTATAAGTATTAACAAAGTTCTTATAAAAAAGAATTGAAATTGACTAAATTATAATGTAATGAACTTTGAAGAAAATAATGATTAATTAATTAATAAAAATAAATAATTAGTGATAAAATGATTGCAGATAAGAATATTAAAAATTAGAGGAAAATATGTATGTTAAATATTGTCTGATTTTTGTGAAAAAATTTCTTTTTAAATAAAAAATAATGTAGTGAATGTTTTTATAAATATGGAGGACAAAGTCAAACAAAATAAATAAATATTTATTTAGCTTAAATGATAAAAAATATTAAATTGTTTAATAAAAAATAAATATATTTTTTATTTTAATGGTTTCTAGAACAGAGCTGTCAGGATTTAGGGAAAATTTATCGTAAAGTTGTACCCAATCTACCTTTTCTAGCGCATCAGTCGAAAATTTTGGAATTTTTAAAGGCCTCGAGAATTTTTCAAATTTTTTTCTAATTTTTTTTTAAAATCTTTTTTATTTTATATCGTCTTTTATCTCAAATAATTACTTTTACTCTTTATATTATTTATCACAAGTTTGACCCAAAATACATATAATCAAAAAATTTGCTTAAATAATTTCATCCATCACAATTAAATTGTTTGAATCTCTCTCTCTCTCTCTCTAATACAAAAATAGAATTTATTTAAAAAGGGATAAATCCATCAATAAATCCTTCCATTTTTTTAGTTCCCTTTAAATCGCAAAATGAGTGGATTGCGGTTATCCATTCAAAAAAACCGTGGATGACCATTAACGTATTTTTCAGTATTTTTAACAATCATTTTGGATAAATTCTCCAATATATTTTTTCGCCCTATTTTATTAAAAATTAATATTTAGAATAAAAATATAGAGAAAATTCTTTTTCACGACTGAAAATTCCCATCACTAGTAATATCTATTTTTTAATTTCATGGATTTTTGTTAATTAATTATTAAAGGATCTAAAAAACAGATAAAAATATCAAATATTAAAATGTTTCCAGAATTATTATTTTATTTTATATCATCATTTTTAATATTAAATATTAATGTAAAAGCTATTGGCGAAAATCCTGTAAATTATTTAAATAAATTATCAAATTAAATTTGTATCTAGTGGGATATTCAAAATTTTGCTGAAATTATTAGCGGTATCGGCCAAATGATTCAAAATCCAGCAGAAACTATTGATGTTCATTCAGCCCTTATTATGGGCAAATGGTTGGATTTATTTTATTTTTTTAATTAACTAAAGAAAAGGTGCCTGAATCACTACCTACATAGTTATATATTAGAGATAAGAATTAGCGGAATCTGAAGGGAATTCTGTCATTATTGTTGTTAGTCCGGCAGGGCATTATTCTTCGCCCAGCCCTTCAGAGTGATTAAGCAAGCAGCAACACTAACTCATAATCAACTGATTAATATTACCCCTCGCTATTTTTTTGGATTAGGTATATGGACTATGGATAAGTGGATTCAATAAGAAAGTACATTATTATTTATCAATCCTATTTATCGGTCAATATCATCTACCATAACAATTAATTTTCATCTTTTTTCTGGTCCATTCTTTTGCAATCATTTTTTTAATTTATTTTATTAATGAAATTAGCCATAAAAATATTTTAATGTATTCTTAACGAAATTTACAGGTTTCAAGTCTATAAAGCATCTGTCAGTTTTGACATTAACAGGCCGCAAATGTATTGTGCCGTTAGCTATTGTAATTAAGAAATAATTTTTTTATTAAAAATATTTTTTAAAAAGTTAAACCAAACAGTGTAATGGGTGAAGATGGATTTTCTATTGAGGTTTTTAATGAAACAAATAAAAAATAAATTGTAAAAAAATTAAAAAGGAAGCTTATCGTGCAGTGTCAAAAAATGGACCAATAGAAACTTTTAAGAGAGATCTAAATAAAGTAGGTACTGGCAAGTATTGGATGTATACTGAAGAATATTTTTATCCAAGACAATGTAAATGATTAATTTTAAAATGCATAGAGAACCCTATATACTCAAATAATTACCCTGGGTAGCTATTTTTCAGCCTTTGGCTGGAGAGGGCATTTAATAGGGAGAGGGTAATTAATAGAATTAAATAAGTAAAATAATTAAAATAATGATAATTATTATTTAAAGTTTATATAATCAAAGTTGGACCAAAATTTGGAAATGACACACAAGTTGATGAAATAGATATACAATATATTGTTGTAACTGGTGGGTATAGAAAAAATTTTCATTAAATTACATGCTGAAATATGCGAGACTTTTGGCCTTGAACCAAGAGTTAGATGGATTTTTACGGAGTCGGGCTTTGAGCATTTTAGAAAGTTAGACTAAGACTTTAATTTGAGTGCCGGAAAATTGGGCTCTGGAAAATTGGGCTCCAACTTTTCGGAAAATTGGGCTCCAGCGGAAATTTGGGCTCTTCGTGAAAAAAAGTGGAAAAAATTGAAAAAATGCTGTGAAAAATTGCTAAAATAATTACCCTGGGTAATGTCATAAAAAGTTTGCCAGTTCTAGAAGAATGAATGTTACTCAACAGAAATTTCAATACCTCCAAAAGTTTCGCCTTTGGCGCATTAAAGAAGTGTGAATAAGGGAAAAGCATAGTGCAAAATAGGAAATGCATGATAAGACATAAGTGGTTTTTGGAAATTTTTCGTCACACGTTTCATATTAGATTATTTACAGATTAAAGTTTTAAAATGACATGATTGTTTTAAAAATAATTTTAACCATATTTTAAAGATGCAAGTAAATTGTCTTTGACAGTTTATGCAAGAGAAGCAATGCTTTTCTTTAAAAAATATAATAAAGAAGTTATGGACTTTTTAAAAGGTAAAAAATAATTTAAAAAATTAAAAATATTTTTATATAGAAAAGGGATTTGGAGGAAAATTATTTTGGAATTCCCCAAAACCAATATATCAAGGGAATGATTGTGATTGGCCATCTGAAAGAGAAGTGTTTGCAAGAAGGTTAGGTTTTATAGATAATTAGGAATATCGAAGTATGCTTTGACATTACTTTTAAATGAACTTGGGCACATATTACCAGCATTCCCCTAAGGATAATGGTTGTCCACTCCCTAGATTGTGGGGATGTTTAGCAAGTCCCTAGCTTCTTCAATAAGATATGCTAAAAAATAAGGTGACCTTATAATTTTGGAACAGTGTACCTTTACATACATAATTATGATAAAGTGAACATGTGAATGGTTTGTGCCATCAAACTAGCGATTAATAACAAAGATAGAGAAATGACTGGAAACTTCATTACCTTTGCTTAGATAACTGATATTCCTTACATATTTAAAAAATTTTTGTGACAAAGTGTCATCTCCAAAATAATTTTAAAAATAATTTTGTTAAATTTTTTAGAGTTTTAAAAAATTATGAACACAACAAAAAAGAAGCTGCTCGACCCACAACAAATATTACTCAAACTCCAAGTGAAGCATTCGCTGAAATTATGAAGAATCCTCAACAAGCAATACAACAATTAATGCAGCAAAATTTTAATTAAAAATTATCTTTATTTATTTTAAATTTTTTTAAATTTATATTATTTTTCGATAAATTAAATTTACAATCCCAAAATAAACCTAACATAAATGCTGTAATTATGAGGGAGGATCTGATGGATTTGTGGTATATCTCAATCTAATTGAGTTGAATCCGATTTATTTTTTGAAATTAAGTCTTAAAGTATTCCAATAAAATCCTGCTGGGTCATGTCCCGACATTTAAAAAATCCGGTTACTGGATCATGCGAATTTTTTATAAATTTAGTGGATTTTTAATTATTCCCGTAATCTCTTTTCTTTTTCAAAACGAAATCCGATCCGAGAAATTGTTGAAAACACGAGCCGAAATCCGATACTTGTCATGAAATTTGTTACATAAAATAAAGAAATTATGTTCCCTGGCCTTCCAAAATTTTCAAAAATTTCATCCGCGGAGCAGAATAAGTGATTGTTTTTGCCTTCATCAAGATAGACTTTCAAGATTTTTGCCTGCGTTGCTAAGAAAATGAAATTATCTCTTCTTGGCATACTGAAAATCCATGATATTTGGTTATTGGTAATCTTTGTGCCGTATAAAGTTGGAATTTCTAAAAAATGCGTCGGTTATCGAGTTGCTGCAAACAAGATTCTACTACCATATTGCTCTCCATCCAATATTATTATAAATTTACACAAAAATAATTTAAAATATTTACTCTGAATTAGTTAAACTTTTAGTTTATTAAAGGTAATCTTCAGCTTTACTGGTCCCTAGAAAAAAATGAGGAAAAAGTGCAAGTTCGACAATTTTGAGGCATGCCAGGAGGTAATCGAGCTTGCTGAGTCCGAATCTGAGCATAGAATTTGTTTATTTCGAACCCTGGACCCGAATTCGACCAAGTCAAACATGGGGTAAAAATTCAAAATTTCAAATTTTATGTCTAATCGGACTTGTCTTTTCGAGCTGAGTCAATTGGCATCAAAATTATTAGGTGTCGACATCTTTAGACTAAGTTATGGTGTCTGATTTATATTCGGAAGTCTAACCACGCGTGTATTTAAGTGATCATAACTCAGTGTCGAAACACAATAATTTTGATATCATTCGACTCAGTTTGAAGAGAGGCGTCAGAATAGCGATAGTTTAATAATTTCGAATTCTTACCATGAATTCGACTTGGTGGAATTCGGGTCCGGGGTTCGAATTAAACAAATTCTATGCTCAGATTCGGACTCAGCAAGTTCGATTACCTAATGGCATACCTCATAAATGTCGAAATTCCACTTTTTCCTCATTTTTTTCTAGGGACCAGTAAAGCTGAAGATTACCAAAAATTAATTTCCGTCTCATATTTTCTGCCCAAGTATTTTAAATGCCATTTTATCACTTTCCTACTGAAAATAATTAAAAATAAACTTTTGTCAACGAGCACCTGTATTACAGCTGTATTTATATTTTTATTTTATTTACTCTTGAAGATAAAAAAAACAATTTTATTCTGAAAAGACAGGAAATAGTCAAAGAAAATGTTGCATTTTTTTTATTTTTAACAAAAAAACATCTAAATACTTAAATACGTATTTAAATATAAATAAAAATTTTATTTAGTATCAAAATTAACGATTAAAAAGCAAAAAACAACAAATAAAATTCCTAATTTAGAAATTTTTTATGTAAGTATAAATAGGTAAAGCATACAGTATTTAATTTTAAAGATTGCCTTCCTACCCCTATATTAATTTTTGTTTTATTTATGGAATATTAGAGGAATATTATTAGGTGAGGAAAGAGTTAAGAAAAATATCTGTTAAGGATATCTATATGTTAAAAAGATATAGAAACTTAAAACCTCCAACGATAAAAGATATTTATACATCCAATCTCTGATATCATCCAATCTTTTTTATTCTTAAAAATGAGTAATTTTCACAATGTCTCTCGCTGAGCAACATGATTTTCGAGTCTGGATTGTCAGGGATAGGCGTATTTTGAATTTTATACACCTTCGTTGTTTTGGAGAGATTTGCAGGTTTTGTAGAAATGATTGGGATACGATGTGATAAGAATAAGAGTGATAGAAGACCGAAGATTAATGAGGAAATCAGGAAATTATTAGAGACTTCGGAGGTTGGATGAATAAATCACTTTTATCGTTGGAGGTTTTAGGCTTTTTAAGTTTTTTTTATATCTTCTTATTATCCTAATACTTGATATCCTTCTTTACCCCTATAACCCCTATATGGGGATATATATTTGTTACTAATAAATTTTTAAAAAATTATTCAATGTTCTGTATGACTAAACCTAATTTAATGTATACCTATTTAGAAAATAATTTTTAGTTTTTTCCAATTTTGTTTACAAATCTATTTATTTATATTTAATATACTCTAAAAATCGACAGATTAAAAAGCTTTAAATACATTACTGTATTCACATGTATATATTTAATTTTTTAGATGGAGCATCGGAAATAGGGGATTTATTTTTTTAGATTAAGCAGTTAAATAGAGAAAAAAGAGTGACGTGGAGAGCGAAAAAAGCCAAAAGTTATTGGCATAATATTATTTGTTTTTGCTTTTAGTAAACATTTATTTTTTTAAATCCGATGCAGCCAAACCAGTTAACTTATGTTTTTGGTTCAAATCAGAGTTGGACCATAAACTTCAGGGTCGGGGCTTTTATCGGAGTTACGGATTTCGGGGGCGGGTTTGATAAAATCGTTCGGGGTCATGGTTAGAGATATTGGTCGCGATCGGATATAAACTGGGGCAGGGTTAGTCGGGATCGGAGTTAGTGTGTAATTACCTCTCTCAATAATTACCCTCCCAAATAATTACCCTCTAGTTTATTCAAAAATATTATTTATCAAAAAAATATTATCGCAAAAAATAATGTGTATGCATACACTGCGTTCCAAAAGTATATGCACCCCTAGTTTTTTGATTTTTTATACATTTATCTTAGTTACCGTATTTCCTAAAATAATACTCCCCCCTGAATTAGTACTCCCCCCTTAAATAATACTCCCCTTCGGAGGAGGGTTGAAAAATAGTACTCCCCCCTTAAATAGTACTCCCCTAAAATAGTACTCCAAAGGGGAGTACTATTTAAGGGGGGAGTACTAATTGAGGGGGGAGTACTATTTTTCAACCCTCCTCCATGATTTATTATAGGAAAATTTATTTTAAAATTCTAAATGTTAGAATTAGAGATTGTTATTTAAAAATGCCGGATCAGGAAGATTTGATTCGATTAGTGGATTTGGAGTGATATCGAGGGATATAAAGGGATTTAAGCGATTAAGACTAGATATCTAAATTTACACTCTACGTCCATCTTGAACTCCCGAACACATTTATACACTTGATATGCGTAAAATCCCCTAGACATCATTCAAGGGGATTTATCAGGAGATTACCTAATCTCCTGTGTATAGTGATTACCTGTGTCTAGTGTAATCCTGTGTCTAGAGATGTCCTAATCTCTGTGTCTAAGGATTTATCAGCATTAATCACCGATATCTTTCATATTCCTTTTGTTCTTCCAATATCCCTACGAATTATATGATATCCATATTTGGGCACCAGGGATCAAATGAGATAAGTTGGATATCAGTGTTTGGATGTCTGGGTATTTTTGATTAGAGGTAACGAAAAAATATCTGTGGATTAAGGAGGATTTATTATTAAATTTCATATCTTTATCACTCTTAATCAACCAAAATCGCCTAATATGACTCATCCTTCATTATTCCCTCAAATTCGTTTATGAAACCATAATGCAATGATATTTTTTAGACCCCACTTATCAATCCAGAACACATTTTATCACCCGATATAATCACTTATATCCTCAAATCCACTTTTATCCCACCAACTAATCACAATATATCTCTTTAATCGTCGACAAATTTTAGGTTAAAATTTCGGTTCGTTTTCGGTAACCGAAACTTGTTCGGTTTCGGTTATCGAAGAATCAAGTGAAACCGACAACCTACTTATGTAGAATAAATAAAATAAATAAATAAATTTCAATAAAATAATTCATTGAGTCTACTATATTTTTTTTAAATATAGGAAAAAAATATTTTAGGGGGGAGTACTATTTTAGGGGAGTACTATTTAAGGGGGGAGTACTATTTTTCAACCCTCCTCCGAAGGGGAGTATTATTTAAGGGGGGAGTACTAATTCAGGGGGGAGTATTATTTTAGGAAATACGGTAACTAAGATAAATGTATAAAAAATCAAAAAACTAGGGGTGCATATACTTTTGGAACGCAGTGTATGCATACACATTATTTTTTGCGATAATATTTTTTTGATAAATAATATTTTTGAATAAACTAGAGGGTAATTATTTGGGAGGGTAATTATTGAGAGAGGTAATTACACACTAACTCCGATCCCGACTAACCCTGCCCCAGTTTATATCCGATCGCGACCAATATCTCTAACCATGACCCCGAACGATTTTATCAAACCCGCCCCCGA